CTTGGAGGTGAACATCAAGAATCTCTTTACTATTTTCTGCTTTATGTAATAATTGCTTTAAATAGAACTTATTAATAAGAGAACTACATACTTCTAAACTTGTATCTTCCATAACAAACAAATTATATGGGAATGGGTGTGGCTTTATCATGAGCCATACAATAACGGTGTTCTTTTAATAGAACATCGAGTTCTGGCCAGTGACTTTATAACCCTTGTTTGGGTATTCCCTGGCCATATACAATTGAGACATCGGAGCCAAAGGACTGGAATAAAACACTGACTCTTCAACTTGTTCTGATACATCGAATGGGTTGTCATTTGCTTCCATTTTGAAGACCTGATTTCCTTCCCAGAACATTAATTGTTGGTGCAGGGTTGATGGCACACATTGAGAGGCATGAATCCAGTCTCTTCCCAGCAAGAGAGAGTATGTAGTATCTGCGTCCACAATAAAGAAAACAGTGGAGATCTTCTTTGGTCCGACCTCGATTGTGGCAACCATCATGCCTTCAGGCTTAGTCGGCTGCCCTGTAAAACTTGTCATTTCGAATTCCACAGGAGACAGATCATGAATTCCTTTCCCTAGCTTCTTGAGGGTCTTCAATGGCATAACATTAAAGACTGCTCCATTATCCACGAAAACCTTTGTGATTGGTTTCCCGCAAATGTGAGCATTAACATACAGAGGTTTCAAATGGGAGATCGCACCCTCTGGAATAGGAGGAAATACTATCGAAGGTGTTTCCGACTGAGGCTCGGAATCTGTAGTCTTTGCCCACTCTGTTTCCTCTAATTCGTCATCTGCCAAGAATGCCCATAAAGGTTCGTCCATAGTATCATCTACCAGACTCGCCCACATCGGTTCATCTCTCATCTGATTAATCTCTGTCATTCGACAAGGGATTCGTGGTCCCAGACGAGATTTAACTGATTTTGAACTTTCCTCTGTAGTTACAACTTCTTCCTTTGTCTTGTCCCGAGATTGAACCGTCAAAGATTCTATGCGGAATTCCTCAAGAGATGGATTGATGTTGATCCGTTCACAATGTTGGCATCTAAAACCTTTAATTATTTCATCTGCCATTCCTTTACCTTTCCCTTGTCCCGACGAACTTCCTTTGGCATAGTCGGCTGCGCCTAAGCCGTCGTTCGGTTGCTTTCCTGAACAGACCCGACTGGACCGACTTTTTAGAGATTGAGTGGCTGCTCCCTGCTCGTTGGTCGTTTGTTCTGTAAAGACTCTCATGGACTGATCTTCTGCCAAGTGGTCGGCTGCTTTTTGTTCGTCGGTTCGTTGTTTTGCTGAAGAAACTCGTTTCCCATACTTTGCAGCATACCTGCGTTTGGCATTGCGAATCTGTGTACGATTCATACCTGGGAACCGAGGATCTATATCAACTGGTAAAGGCTTTTTATTTCGAGCCCAATTGTTCCCGACTGTTCCTGTTTTTCTGGTCGGGTGGTCACGCACTAAAACCTTTTCTTTCACTTCCACATTAAAAGAACCGTCTGGACGGTCCCATTTTTCAGCGACTGGCCTTTCAACAACTTTGAGTCGTTCTTCCGGTCGGCCACTGTTTGGCCGACTTCCTTTTTTTATTTCGGGGCTTGGCTGAGTTCGTTCCCCTGGCTGAGTTCGTTCCCCTGTTTGTCCATCATTGGCCGAACTTTTCCTTGTTTCCGAACTTGGTTGGATGTCAACCATTGCCGTTGTTACTTTCGGAAACGGTTGCTGGTCTACACCTAGAGTGATGTATTTGAGCCGACCTGTCTTGATGGCCTTTTGAATTTCCTTCCTGAAATGAGTACACTGACTTGTAGTGTGTGTGAAAGAATTATGCCACTTACAATATGGTCTCCCTTTGATTTCTTCTTTAGTGGCAAGTCTTTGCCCCTTTGGAATACGGATCTGCCCATCAGTCAGCAGGATATCAAAAATTTCATCAGCTTTCGAACTATCAAAGGTCGGTTGCTCCTTTCCTTCAGACCCTGGTACTGGCTTTAATTTAGGGCATACATAAGGTTTTCCAGAAAGGATTTCGGCTGCCATCTCTTCTGACTGATTAAAATCAAAGTCACATGTTTCTGTTCCCATACTCGCCATATGTTGGCCTCTATTACGCCTGTTATGCTGATCTTCCTCTCTGAACAAAGACTCTAGACGTCCTGCCTTAGATGCAAGACTTGCCAAATCCTCAACATCCAGGGCAGTGAGTGCCTTTCTTAAACGAGTATGCATATTCCGGACCACTAAATTGGTCATCTCTTTCTCACTGATTACCGTAGGACATCGTCCCTTCATCAATCGCACCCTTTCTATAAACTGTGAAGCAGTTTCTTCTGGATACTGTCTCAATTCAAGTAAATCAGTTAAAGAAACCACTGGTAAAGGATTGAAGAATCTAGCGTGAAATGCCATCTCCAGTCCTTCCCATGTCTGAATTTGCCCAGGAGGTAGACTTACAAACCACGAAAACGCCGTTCTAGTAAGAGATAAACCAAACAGCTGTAACTTATAAAAAGGGTTATTGCCAACTTCTCCTAATTGTGCTGTGAACCGACCAACATGTTCTATGGTGGAAGATCCGTCCTCCCCTGAGAATGCATGAAAGTCGGGTGGTCTAAAATTCCTTGGGAGAGGGTGTTCATTAATGATCCTTTCTGGGAAAGGTCTCTGATATGCAGGGCGGTTAGCCATCTGAGGAATTAATCCATACTGATCCCTTAATATATGTGCAATCTCATCAGGATCTACATGAAAGCGTTGATGATCAGGAATATGAATAGGATCCTGCACAGGAATATGAATAGGATCATGTATATATCCTTCAGGCCTGTCCTCCCTTGTATTGTTCGGCTGTGGATTGGTAACCCTTGGTCCCAGTGGAACATTGTTGGGAAAAGTCAAAGGAGATTTTCCCCTATCCATTCGGTTGGGATTTGTGGCACTTGGGAATGTACTATCCACGAATGATGGCCCTGCGAAATTTGCCTGTGGTCTGGACGGGGACACTCCTGGTGGCGTTTGATTGGGTTGAAGACTAACCCTTGACAGTGCTTGATCTATCATGTTCTGCATCAGACTCTGTTGCTCACGCAACATGTTCGTTTGTTGCTCACGCAACATATTCTGCATAACCAAAGTATGCTGGTTGTTCATTTGTTGAACATAAGACCACCAATCAGTTGGTGGTTGTGGGATTTCCCCGGCATTTGGCACAATAGGTGGTGGAACGGATTCTCCCACCGGTGCCGAAGATGATTGTGGTTGTGAACCTGCCATATGGACCCTTCCGATGATTCGGCCGGATCTAAGACGTATGAAATTATCGCCGGAATTGGAATGAGCAATTGTGTCTTGCTCCCACTGTGGTCGCCAATTTGTTGATGTAATTTTTCAACAAAAATAAAGTAAAATTCAAAGATATAGAAAATATCCTTAAACTTGATTAATTAGTGCCTGAGATTAGGAATCTCTAAACACTGTATGGTACAGAAAATAAACTGGAAAATAAAAGACTGAAATTTAAAGTGGTGATCCCCAAATCTGACTTTGCTTTGTTGAAGTTGATTGAAGATGCCTTGCCAAATGATGATTCTAACCTTTAAATATTCTCTGGGAAACCGTACTGAAAACCGTCACCCGAACGGTTACAACGTCTCCTTCCCAACCGTCTTCCAACCCTTCTCATGCTGACACGTGTCCCCAGCAGACCAAAATTATCCCTATATTTCACTCTTTGAGCCGACCACAGACCTTCCGCTCTTTTGGCCCGACTTCGTCCTTCGCCCGACCTGCTTCTCCGCCCGACCCCACTTGGGCCGACCTCCGCATCAGCCGCCCTCCGTCTTCGATCAAAGACCTCCGCGTCTGTCCGTACCTCTTCCTTGCCCGACCTTCCTCTTGACAGACCTCCGCGTCTGCCCGACTTCGTCTTCTATCCGATCTACGGTTTACCCGACCTGCGGACTTCCATCCTGATGACTTTCCGTCTTGAGGACCTCCCGACCTGAAGACCTTCCGACCTGAGGTCTTTCCGTCCTGAGGACTTACCGACCTGAGGTCCTTCCGTCCTGAGGACTTTCCGTCTTGAGGACCTCCCGACCTGAAGACCTTCCGACCTGAGGTCTTTCCGTCCTGAGGACTTACCGACCTGAGGTCCTTCCGTCCCGAGGACTTTCCGTCTTGAGGACCTCCCGACCTGAAGACCTTCCGACCTGAGGTCTTTCCGTCTTGAGGACCTACCGACTTGAAAACCTTCCGACCTGGGGTCTTTCCGTCTTGAGGACCTACCGACCTGAGGTCCTTCCGTCTTGAGGACCTTCCGACCTGAAGACCTTCCGACCTGAGGTCTTTCCGTCTTGAGAACCTACCGACCTGAGGTCCTTCCGTCCTGTATTTTCCTTAGAAATAAATCTATTTTCCTTGATTTCCTCACGGTGTCCTTCAGCCAGTTCAATCAACCCTATTACCAGGCCCATTCTTCTTTTTACCTTGGGCTTTTAACCTAATTCTAAATTTCGTACGTAACAATTATTATTCTTTTATTTATACTATCACATTTTTATCTATTATTTAATAAATTTATGCAATACTTTATTCTACTTTTTATATATTAATTTTTATATTATAAATATTGTTATTTTAAAATTATCCAAGCAATTTTATAGGAATACTTTCTTTTAGCAAAAATTAGTAAAAGCAATATGTGTGGTTGTTTGTGGATTTGGATTTTTGGATTTGAATTATTGAATAGTAGTTTGATGTGATATAAACAGACGATGATGTGATATTTTAAATATAAAATAAATTTATATGTAATATAAAAAAAAAATAATTACAAAAGAATCGAAAGAAAAAGAACACAACCTATATGATCAAACTATTTCACAAAATAAATAGCTGAAGATTATTAATTAACCGAAGGGTGGAGTGGAATGGCGAATGGGTTCGTTCCTACTGCGGTTTGGGGTTTTAACGGCAAAACCGACAAAGGGCACAGACCTCCCTCATTATTAGCAGGCAGCGCTCCCAACCACACGACACCACCCACACACAGTTGTGCCTCAGTTTACTTTTGCTTGGTTTTTTGTTTACTCTCTCAGTTTCACATGGAAATCATCGAAACCGTTTATGTATGGAGTTGGTTCGTTCCTGAATGACCACAAAGCCGAAGCTCTAGGCGACGATCCCGAGGCCGCCTCTCTCGGAATAACATCTCCCAGCTGTTCTGTTTTTTTTTTTTTTTTTTTTTTTTTTTTTTATCTTGGTGCGGACTGCGGAGAAGTGCTTGCTTCTACTCTTCCATTAAAGATCCCTTCCCCTCCGCTCCTTGTAGAGGCAATCTCACGTTCCTTGTTGCATTTCGATCTATTGGGCTTCTGTCTTGAATTTGTTCCTTTAGAATTGGATTTATTTGAATGAGATGGATGCATGTGTTTTTCTATGTGATTGATTTGAGCGTAAATTGGATGTAGGAGGATTTATTGTTTGATACGAGTTACTTCCGGCAGGTTAAGAGTTCTGCTAGTTTCTTCACTCGAGCTAAACTTTTGAATTCATAATTTAACAGTTGGTTCTGCTAGTGACTTAAGAGAGCGAGCTGGACTCCTGCGTTGTCGGGATTGCTGTTTATGCTTCCTTTGATTTTTAATTTAACAGTTGGAACTTCTGCTAGTGACTTAAGAGTGCGAGCTGAACTCCTGCGTTGTCAGGATAGCTGTTTATGCTTCGTTCGATTTTTAATTTATGTTATTATATGTTTTTGCAATCAGATTTCGATGTTACTCCAGCATTCATTTATTTCCCCCCAAAATCATAGTATTATTTGATGCATACAAGTGCACATGTAGAAAATATTCCAAGAATTGTTGAGTTCGGAACTTCAATCTTCAATTATGTTGAAAGTTACATACAACGTTAATGTTCCCATCTATTATTTAACACAAACAGATCCATCCATAATCCGGCTTATTCTGGATGTGTAGATTGAAATGGCTTCCAGTACCCAATCCTCTGTTTCGTTGGCTGGACATTTGGCTTCAAATTCTACAGCTTCGGATCTTCTTAGGAGCTCAAGTAATGGGAGTTCTGTAATACCCCTCAAGACACTAGGAAGAGCCCGACAAGAAACAAAAAAATGGAACTTCACGATAACAGCAAAGGTTCGGAAACTCAAGAAGCATGAATATCCCTGGCCAGAAGATCCTGACCCGAATGTCAAGGGTGGAGTCCTTAGCCACCTCTCACCTTTCAAACCATTGAAGGAGAAACCAAAACCTGTGACTTTGGACTTTGAGAAGCCGCTAATGGATTTACAGAAAAAAATAGTTGATGTATGAAGCTTTTAGCCCTCTATGACTGTTTATCCACATAAATCTGTGAGATACTGTTTGAAGAATATGAATAGTTGGATACTTGATTCTGTCAATATTTGTTTCCTTGATATAGGTGCAAAGGATGGCAAATGAGACTGGACTGGATTTTAGTGATCAAATTATCCTACTGGAGAATAAATACCAACAGGTTTAGTTACTAGTACTTGCTTCTTCATTTGATTTTACTTACTGTTCCATTATATTTTCAGTTGGTATTCCATCACGAAATCCGTTACATTTTTAGTTGGTATTCCATCAGGAAAACAGTGATAGTATATGATCTATATTCCATTGGAAGGAAGGAGTTTGGGTAATGAGAGGAGGGGTGGTTGCAATTGATCAGTTCATGTTGCTATAGCTGGCAGACTTACACCCTTTTTTTGGTTTTTCTCCAGGCTTTGAAAGATTTATATACTCATTTGACTCCCATACAACGTGTTAATATTGCACGTCATCCCAACCGACCAACATTTTTGGATCATGTTTTCAACATTACAGAGAAGGTCTGAAAGTTGTCTAACTATTTACTCACAATAGTTTGTCTTATTTTTATTATTATTATTATTATTATTATTATTTTTTTTTTTTTTTTCCTTAATATAAACATCTTTTGCTGGAAATGTGGAATCTAGATAAAAGAAACTGAAAGGTTGAGCTCTGAATTTCACTTTTCCATATATACTATCTAGTTTGTTGAGCTCCATGGCGATCGAGCTGGATATGATGATCCTGCAATTGTCACTGGACTTGGTACAATGAATGGCAGAAGCTACATGTTCATTGGGCATCAAAAGGGCAGGAACACAAAAGAGAATATTCAGCGAAATTTTGGAATGCCTACTCCGCATGGGTATGCATTTAAGAAAGATATCTCTATGCTTACTTTATACTTAACTGAATGGAAATGCATTCCATACTGACTAGAAGCTCAGGAATAATTTTTGAATATTCGAACAGGCAATAGTGCTATGCTAATTCCAGTTTCCGAGAATCCATTAAACAAATTGAATTTAGTCCTAATAGAAAATTGCCTCTTACAGTTACAGGAAGGCACTACGCATGATGTACTATGCAGATCATCATGGATTTCCGATTATCACTTTCATTGACACCCCAGGGGCATATGCTGATCTTAAGTCTGAAGAACTTGGACAAGTAATGTACAGAAGTTCAGTAATGTAAGATCTCTCCTTATTAGCTCAAGTATGCCCATGTTAACTGATTGTATTATTTTCTGTAGGGAGAAGCCATTGCTCAGAATTTAAGGACTATGTTCGGCCTGAAAGTTCCAATTGTTTCAATTGTTATGGGTGAAGGTGGCTCTGGTGGAGCTCTGGCAATTGGTTGTGCTAACAAGCTGTTAATGCTTGAAAATGCAGTTTTCTATGTTGCCAGGTGTTTTATATCCGCAGTTATGAAATTAGTATATACCAACAGTTTATGCTGCTACTATATACATTGACTAGACAGCTAATTATTATGACTTCCAGGAATTATTGCCTCTGTTGAATTCATGTTTTATCTCTGTTGAATTCATGTTTTATGCTGCATTTGTTGCAACGTAAGGCTTACATTTTGACTTTTTTCTGTTCCATTTCCTTGTGATAGCCCTGAAGCTTGTGCTGCAATCTTGTGGAAGAGTGCAAAAGCTTCTCCAAAGGTGTTTTTATGGGTGTCTGATCTTGTGTACACATAATAACTATCGTTGTTTTAACGTAATATTCTTCCTACTCTTTCCAGGCTGCTGAGAAGCTAAAAATAACTGCTGCAGAGCTGACCAAGCTTCAAATTGCCGACGGTGTCATCCCTGTAATTATCACTTAACACATCTTCATTTCATTTCTTGAATATGTTCCCTTTATTCTTTCTCCTACCTTTTGTTTTTTTTTCTTTTACTGTCCCTGAGATTGTGTTTTCATTTAAGATAAAACATAGTACGGAAGGTTCAAAACAGTATTCTAGACATGATTACACATCACAATAAAATCATTCGAAACACAATGCGGAAAGGTGGCATAAATATGCATAATTTACCATTTAGTTTCATTTCCTTGCATCTCAAAATTCTTCTTTCTTCTTTTTACAGTCTAGCGAGTTGTTTTTGTTCATGATAGTACAACTTTTGGTTTCTTGTAGGAACCTCTTGGTGGTGCTCATGCAGATCCATATTGGACTTCACAACAGATCAAAACTGCACTTGTCGAGTCAATGGATGTGAGTGTCTCCTTCACAATTTTACATATTTATCATTGTATGTATGCATTAACAAAATAATCCTTGGTTATATCTGTCATTAACAGGAGCTTGTTAAGATGGATACTGAAACATTGCTAAAACATAGGGCTCAAAAATTCCGTAAACTTGGTGGATTCCAGGAGGGTATTCCAGTTGATCCTAAGAAGAAAATCAATATGAAAAAGAAAGAAGAACTGGAAGTTCCCATTAGCAAAATTTCAGAAGAAGAGTTGAGGGATGAAGTCGAAAATTTGAAACTGAAGATAATGGAGGCCAATAACTCTTCGACAGGGCTATTGGGTACTGGATTAAGAGAGACGATTGATAAGTTGAAAAAACAGATTGACTACGAACATGATGAGGCTGCCAAAGCTTTGGGTATGCAGGACAAAATTTTGATGGTGAGGGAAGAAGCTGAGAAGGCAAGAAATCTAAATGACCAGCTTGCATATCTTGCACTGAAGGAAAAGATTCAACAACTTAAGAATGAGTTTGAGAGAAATCTTCATTCAGCTCCTAATTATCCTAGCCTGAAATCTAAGCTAGATATGCTGAAAGAGTTGTCAAAATCTTTGAAGCACTCCAAGAAAAGCACCAAAAAGGAGAAATTAAAAGATGAGGTTAATAGGAAATTTGGTGAAGTCGTTGAACGGTCTGATCTAAAACAAAAGATTGACATGCTGAAGGCTGAAATTGCAACCTCAGGAGTGTCCAGCATTGATTCAAAGCCAGAGCTAAAGGAAAGAGTTTTGCAGTTGGGGGCAGAGTTAGAGTCAGAATTTGTGCGTGTTCTTGAATCCATGGGTTTGGAGGTGGTTCCTTCAAAACCTGAAGTCTTGGCAAAAATAAATGCATTTGATGAAGAGGTTACCATGATAATAGACGACGTTGTCAATTCATCAGATTTGAAAGATAGGATTGAAGTACTAAAGATGGAGTTAGAGAAAGCTGGAACAAAGCCGGATGAAGAATCAAAAAGTAAGATTCAGGCTTTAGAGGCGGAGATCAAGAAATCCATCACAGAGGCAATAAGCACCCCTGAGTTGAAAGAGAAACACAAAACCCTGGAAGCTGAGATATTGGAAACCACCAAATCTTCAGTAAAAGCTGATGATGCAAGTTTGGGATATGATAAAACTCAAGTAAAGGTGAATATGGAAGGTAATCGCCGCCATGTTTGATTGAGGTACGTAAACAAACCCATTTGCAATTGCAATGAATTATTAATCTGCAGAAATCATGAAGATTTTGATTTTGGGGACATTACTGAATGAATAAATTTGTGGAAACTAAAGCAGGCAGGCAGGCTGTGTAGAAGTACAACTTTCTCAACCTGCTGGTGTTCTTCTGATATGATACTCACTCAACATTTGTGCCTGCTGCCTAAGGCTTTGTTGTTGTTCTGAATTTGCCAGACATTTAGCTTAGCATGAGAGAGAGAGAGAGAGAGAGTGAGATTCAGAATTTTCTTTTCTTTTGTTTTGTTTAGTGAGATACACCATCGATGCTGATCTGATAGACTGGAGCTAGTGAGTGGAATGAGCTGCTGAAAAATTGGAGGTGTGATGAGAGTTTGATTTTGTTTTGTTATTGCAACGAGGGAGGGCGTACATGTCATGTAATTCCGTTGTTTGCTGTTATTTTTTGTTGATGATATAAGATTACATATAGTTTAATAATAAGTGACTAAAGTTACATTTGGTTTAAACCAGCAAATCGTAATGCCAAAGAAGCATACACCGAACTGAACGCCTTATTGACACAGAATTTGCTCATTCAAGTGTACTTATCAAAGTAGTTATTATTATTATTATTATTATTGAGCTGGTTAAACTGTTGAGCTAATAATCGCATTTTTTTTTTTTTTTTTTTTTTTTTATCATGCAACATAGTCTACATAGTGGTAATTTGCTAGTTATTCATTTGTTGAGCATATCTAGGAGTGGGTGTCCCGAAGTAAATACTCCAATTGAGATGTTCGATGTTTGTTCCTGATATCCTACTATGTCATCCTTCCGATTACTAGGCCGGATCATAGACATATAAAAACTTCTTCAGACGTAGGATAAATAATTTTGTCTTGTCTTCCACCGTGGTTGGTTACCAATTTGTTGATCAAATTTCTGCAACAAAATAAAGTGAAACTCTAATAAGAAAATTCAAATTTAATTTAATGGGCTTGAGAAGTCGATCCCCAAGCTCCCAATTTAGACAAAGTAAGTGACCAAGTAAATTTGCAAGAAAATCAATAAAATAATGATCCTCATAAATTTCCTTTGAAATGATTTGTTTACCTTTTTCATTAATGATATATTTAAAGTCCTGCAAATTATTTTGGAGAGGCCATCAACCACGTTTGGTTGGTAACACCGATCGTAGACTAACACAGTCGGTTTATGACTTCACGACCACCACCTTCGGAGAGGCAGTTATATCTAATACTTAGAGAGCTCCGATCTCACCGGACTCGAACAACAACGGTGAACCATTCTCAACCACCTCACGATTCTGACATTGACCGAATTCCCCGGATTCAACTAGCACCTAACCAACAATGGCAGAGCATTCACTGAGCTTGGCCTTTAATAGCCCTTTTGGGCCATAGATTCAACTATATTGTGGGCCGAACCCTAACATATGATTTTTATGGCTCAATAATACTAACAAACCTTAATAAACTTCATGACATGTATCATGTAAAGTCCAATTAAAATATTTTATTTCTATCTCTCCCAATAAAGAAATATAATTATTTCTATTTAAAAGTTCTTATTATTTTTTATATAACGTGAGAATCCGCAGTCGCTACTCTTCGGGTGCGATCTAGGTAAGTCAACGGCTGAACCAAATAATTGTGTTTTTATTATTTATCTGGACTATAAAAGAATTTCTCGTCACGAAAAGAATCATTTATACCTGGGGATGTGTCCTCAGCTGTCTTAATCTACTAAGGTGATCAACAACGAAATTCTCGTTCTCTTTGCGATCTTTGATCTCGATATCAAATTCTTGGAATAACAGAACCCAATGGATCAAGCGGGCCTTTGTCTTATTCTTCTTCATAAAAACTTGATCGCTGCATGGTCAATGCGAACTATGGTCTTGCTTCCAATTAGATACTGCATGAACTTTTCGAAAGCGAAGACAATGGCTAGCAGCTCCTTTTCAGTAGTAGTGTAATTCTTTTGAGCGGAGTCCAACGTCCTACTGGCATAATAAATGACATTCAGCTTGGACTCCACATTCTATCCTAATACAGCGCCGACGGCATAATCACTCATGTCCGTCATCAGCTCGAATGGCTCGTTTCACATTGGTGGCGAAATGATGGGAGCGGTAGTGAGTTTTTCTTCAAAATTTGGAAAGCCTCCTCACACTCACTCGACCACTGAAATTTAGCATCTTTGCACAATAGCGCGGTCAGCAGTTGAGTTATTTTACTGAAGTCCTTGATAAATCGTCTGTAGAACCCAACATGGCCAAGGAAACTTCGCACACCTTTCTCATTCGAGAGTGCTAACATTTTTTCAATTGCACTAATCTTCGATCTGTCCACCTCAATTCTGGCGAGCGAGATCTTATGGCCAAGAACTATTCCTTCATTCATCATCAAATGACACTTCTCCCAGTTCAGCACGAGATCAGTCTCAATGCAACGGTACAGTACTTTATCCAAATTGCTTAGGCATCTAGAAAAGGTCTTGCCATATACTAAAAAGTCATCCATGAAAACCTCTATGCACGAGTCCAAGAGATCACTGAAATGTGGTACATACATTGTTGGAAGGTGGTTGGGGCATTGCAGAGCCCAAAATCCATCATCCTATAAGCGAAAGTACCATACGGACAGGTAAATATAGTTTTCTCGCAGTCCTCTGGTTTGATAGGAATATGATGATAACCTGAGTAGCCATCCAAAAAATAGTAGTATTCGTGACCGGGTAGCTTCTCAAGGCACTGATCAAGGAATGGTAGCGGGAATGATCTTTCTTTGTCGTTGCGTTTAATCTCCCGTAGTCGATGCTGACCCTCTATCCCGTGGCAGGTCATGTCATGAAGACCTCCCATTTGCCGCTTGTTTGTTCAACAAATCCTCATTTCTTGGGGACCACCTAGATTGGACTAACCCACTGGATGTCGCTTATTAGATAGATAATACCTGCATCGAAAACCTTAATAACTTATTTCTTAACTACCTATTATATATTCTCGTTAAGGCATGGCTGAGGTTGTCTGCATGGCTTCGCTTCAACATCCAGAATGATATGGTCCATACAAACCGCTAGGCTAATTGCTTTAATATCATATATTTTCCATGCAAAAGTCATATTTCTTTTCTTGAGAAAAGATAAGACCTGATCTTCTTGGTCTGGAATAAGCGAGGCTGAGAATATCAACGGGTAAGTCCCCTCTAGCCAAGGAATACGTATTTCAGATGCTCTGGAAGCTTTTTTAGCTATTTCCTAACCTTCGATTTGCTCTATGGCTCTCGCTTTGCTTGGTCTATGGACTCAGTTTGAATAGGCAAACTAATATTCCTTTCATCTGAGTCCTCCAGCAGCTCCAGCTTGAGCGAATCCATATCTGAAATTTCTTGAATACATTCTAAGGTTAAAATATTCTCAAGAGTAGTTAATTAATTTAATTCATCAATAAAATAATCATTTTCTTCCTGTGATTGGAGTAAAGCTCTATTTATTGAAAATGTGACTTTATCTCCGCCAATGCTCAGTGTAATTTCGCCTTGAGCAACATTGATGTTAGCTCGAGCGGTGGAAATGAAAGGTCTTTCCAATATTATAGGAATGTCGAGGTCTTTGCTCATTTATATTTTTTTGAAATCTTTAGGGAAGATAAATTTGTTTACTTGCACCAGTATATCATGAATAATCTCTTTCGGAAGTCTTATTGATTTATCAGCAAGTTGAATTACAGTTCTACATGGCTTAAGTTCATAAAGCCTTAGCTTACCGAAAAGTGAAAAAGGCATAAGATTGATACTAGCTCCTAAATTGCATAATGCTCTAATCGGTTTCAGATTTTCTATAGTACAAATAATAATAAAACTCCTAAGATTTCTGAGTTTCCTTGGTAAGTCCTCCGTGAACATGGGGTTGTACACACCCTCTAGCTGATTCCCTATGTCCACTTCATAAATTGTTCGTTTCTTATTGATAATATCTTTTATAAACTTACCATACTATGGCATCTGCAGCAAAGCATCAAAAAAAAGAATAGTGACTTTAAGATTACGAAAGCTGTGCACAAACTTTTCAAGGTCTTTGAAATTGTCCTTCTTCCTGTGCCTCGCTGGAAAGGGGACCCTAGCATCGCTCGGGGTGGCTCCTTTACATTCTGTGGTGGCACTCGAGTAGTTTGTGTAGCTCGTGGCTCAATTGGACTTACTTCCTCACTCGGGATTTAATTATACTAATCCCGTATAGGTAATGTATTCGAAACAATATGAGAAGGGGAGTGATTAATACCTCTGTCTGGAAGCGATGGTGATGCAGTGCGCTTCCCAATCCTTGTCTCCACAACATTGCTCCTTTCCGCTTCAACTTCAGCGCTTCAACAATCTGCCCAACCTATTTTTCCAATATTTTGATTGAGGCAGATGTATGTCTTTGGAACTCCTGATTCAAATGCTCAGCATTCCTCCAAGACCTTTCCAGACTCAACAGCTGGTTTTTCACTGTGCGAGGTTGGGCAAAAACAAATGTTTGCTGCGAAAAAATGAGGGAGTTAAGGATATTGTTGTGGTGGATAGTATCCCCCTTGATAATATTGCGGCGCAGCGAACTATTGCGGCTGGTGAAATTGTTTCTGAGGACAAGGACCAAGAGGCCTTTGGGGTTGTCCCTGTTGTTGCGGCTGAGGTTGGTTTCTATTGTCCATATAGAAGACATCCATTGGGTCCTGAGTCTGCTCATCTGAGCACTCAACGACCTGCGGGCTAGATTGGTCGAAAAAGGCACAAACCTCAGTTGCCACGGCCTCATTCATTACCTTATTTCCTTTAGCACTAGAAAAATTCCGCTTGATGATATATTAGTAAGCTCTTTTAACTGGACAGAAAGACTTTCCATCCTTGCATTAGAAACGGAAGCGGGAACCTGGTAAAGACCCCTCGATGGCTCTGTTTTGCTACTCTTTGATCAGCCCGTCTAGTTGGTCGCCATCTTTTCTATCAGAGTCCTCGCTTTTGAAGCACATCTTCTCATCAGCAACCTGCTAGTTGCCGCATTTAGAGACATCTGCAACTCAAGAGTGATCCCTGAATAGAAGATCTAGAGCTCCATGAAATCGGCGATCTTATGGTGTGGGCAATTGCGGAACAGCTGCTTGTAGCGACTCCAGGCTTTGGGCGGGGTCTCATCAGCAGCCATTTTAAAACTCAAAATCTCATTGTGCTGACTGATGGTCTTGGACACAATAGGGTATTTACTCACGAAGGCCTGCGCTGCTTCCTTGAATGATCTAGGAGCTGGGTAGAGCGAATCGAACCATTTCTTGGCTTCACCTACTAAAGAGAAGGGAAGCAATATTAGCTTAGCAGCGTCCTCCGTGATGCCATGTGATTTGGAGGTGAGAGCGATCTTGTTGAAGTTTTCTAAATGCTCAAAAAACCTTTCATTGAGCACCCCATAGAACTGGCTCTAGCTTGCCAGCCCTACCAGCACTGGCTTGACCTTATATGAGCCAGAGCCTTTAGGCGCAGAACTAGTAATCAAAGTATTATCCAGCAGGGACTGGTAGTGAACGTCCATCGGGACTTTAGCAGTTGGGCAATCAGCAACCCTGTGTCCGTAGAATTGCCTCAGTTGGGGCTCAGCAGTAGACGGAGCCGGAGTGCTATTGGCGGGGTTCGCAGCGGCGTGAACAGTCTGAGCCGTTTGAGCAGCGAGAAATGCAGCCTGGGCAGCTTCAGCCTGCTCAACCTGAGCGAGGTGTGCCTACATGCTAGCCATTCCCTGCTGCAAGCTAGTCAGCGTCCAGACAATCTGTTCTTCAGTAGATGCCAGAATATGGGAAACAGTAGTTGGTTAGGGTACAACGAGGACGTGGAGCAGCATCTTCTGCGAATAAACAGATGTGGCAGAGTTGTTGTTGGATGTCCCGATGTCAGTCAGGAAAGCTGAGACAACGGTGGCAGGGGCAGCAATGTTTCCTTGGTCGGCAATGATTCGCTCATGAGTGATCTCACGAAACAGACGTCTATGAGTGCGAGAAGAATGAGTGGGACTAGTTCATGCTGAAAACTCTTAGAACCCCTAAATTAAAATTTTCCACATCCAAAGAAAAGTTAGAACGAAAAATAAAAATTAAGGATTGACAGAAATTAAAGCTAAATAATGGCATGGAACTTTAGTATTTCAAAATTCAATTTCTTGAGTTTGAAATTCCCAGCAACAACGCCAAATTATGATAAGGCTAGCGATTACAACATTTGCAGGGGTTAAAAAATGAAATGAAATTAATAGTGAGTTATTGAACATGGTCTGACATAAATGTAAATGAAATGAAGTTGTAGACCCTGAATTGTGTTTATCGAAATTACTTTATACTATTTATACTTATGAGTTCTCAGGTCGAACACAGAGATTTTAAGTCAGGAAAATCAAATCAAGAAATTCTTACAAAGTCAAGCACAAGCAGGAAAATGAAGAATTAAAGCAATTCGCTCGTAAGTGAGCCAAACAAAAAAAATAATTCAACTAATACATAATGGAAATGAAAGCGATTAAAATGAGTAGGGGAGGAATAGTAGGATGGAAATGGTGCACAAGCTATGAGTACATCGAGAATGTTGGTGAGCGAAGGTGAGCAGATGAATAGTGAGCGGATTATATATATATATATATATGACTGATGTTGAGCGTTTAACGAGCGATGCTGCTGATGGTAGGTGAGCGATAATTGATAAGCGATATGGGGGATCAGATAAGGTTGTGTGTGATTTGTGTGTTCCTTAATGATTAGATTCTCATGGAGGAAATGAGCGAGCGATGTTAGTGAATAAGTGAACCATATATTTATAACACACAATGGGAGAAGTAATGAGTGTAATCATGCTTGACAGTTTAATAAAAAAAACTTGATGCACTGATATTTGACCTTAAGGGATTTACAACATGGCCTCAATGATGCCCGGAATTAGAACATTATAAGCAAAAAATGCTACTGTCACTAGACATTATATGGCCTAATAGACAAACACCTATGCCCCTTAAATTATCCTGCATTCTGTCTCATTAGTGGCTTTACCCTTCTGTGACCTCTCTTTAATCAGAATCGAATTTGGAGCAGTGGTTAAGCAGATCGACAAGGTTCCTGCATACTTAACTACATTGAACTTACTTAATTCTATTAATGAATACAATGTGGATTTAGGTTTAACTAGTCGATTTGTCTATGTTCTTTCATGATATTTTATTAAACTATTAAAAGCAGTAAAGATCTACATTACGAAAGCTGAAACAAAGATATAAATCAAAGTAGTAATCTATACTAGAAAGCCATAAAGTGAGCGGCTAGATGAGTAGAAGATCTCGACTCCGCTGGCCATTCCTAACTAGAGAACTCTCTTACAGGATTGGAGCTCTCGGAAAACCCTAAAGATTTGCAAAAAGTATGAACACTTTAATGTAATGTAATTTACAACTGGAATATGGTCTTATTTATAGATATCAGGATTGGCAGTTGAACTGCAGTTGAGAAGCGGTTGAAACCGCTGGGCAGTTAGGCGCTGATAGCAGTTAGTCTATTAGAGAGGTTGCACCGGCCATAACTCTCAAGTTGCTTGCTTCGCTTGCCTCAGAATGCATTGATACAGATCTTCCTCGCTTGCCTCAAAATGCATGGGCACAAATCTTCCTCGCTTACCTCATAATACATGGGCACAAATCTTCATCGCTTGCCTAGATGGCTAGAGGGCATCGACGCAGCTCAAGCAGTGCTATCCTTGCTGACTTGCAGTGGAATGACATAACCGCTTAGAGATGAATACTTAGCCAATTTTTGGGGCTGGTCTAGGCAGCATTTCGGGAATCGGTCCGATTCTATCTCTGTTCCTTCCGTTTGAAGAAAGAAAGGATCCCAAAGAATCGATCTTTCTTTTAGTGGTTGAATCTCTCTTTGATTGATCAACGTGTGAGATTCCGAATCCTCATTACTAATGGAATCCAAATGATCTCTGGATTGATCAGAAGATCCTTTTAGTTGGCTAGAATCCGTTACTTGAACGAAACTGGATCTTGTGGAATCATATTGAATATTTGACCGGATGATGTCTAGTCATTGGCGCTGTCTCAAGCGGTAAGAGCGTCGCTTGTCTAGCTAAAAGCGCCTTCGCTTACCTTCAATACTTATTTATGGCCAAAAACATCGCTTACAAAAGCTGAAAACATCAATAATCTCGACAAACAGACTTTGAATCATGCCAAGCAAAACAATGCAATAAAGTATATCATAAATCAGATATTATGATGGTTTTTACATAAAAATTCAAGCAATACATAATTTTGTCATGCGAAAAATATGCTATTATTTGGAGTTATCACCCGCAGCTGCTACTCTTCGGGTGTACTCTAGGTAAATTTCCGGCCAAATTGTTTTTTTATTATTTATATATACTAATAAAAAAAATGATTTTTTTACAAAATAATATGTAGAAATATAATTTTTAAAAGCACATATCTTCGTTTGATCCCTTAAAAAATATAATAGATATTTTAAAGCTATCAATAATATTACTTACATCAACAATAAAAATAAATACTCCCTCCGTCTATTTTGAAAGGGTCCTTTGGGATTTTGTAATAGATTAAAAAATAATAGTATTTTATTAGTGTATAAGAATATTTGAAATTTTTGTCATTTGATTTTATGTAAAAAGTAACTGTATGTTTAATGTTATGTTTGTAATTTAAATAAAAATTAAAGGTATTTTGGTATTAATGTATAATTACTTTTACTAAATAAAATGAAAATTTTGAAATAGGAAGACGTAAAAATGATATTTTAAAATGAGATTAAGAGAGTATTATAATTTTTTATAATTAACTTATTACATTCCCACCACCTTAAATATGATCACAAATCAAATGAATCATTTGTTCTAAAAAAGGGAGGGAGTATATGTTATATATTTTGTGTAAATATACCTATATATTATATTTTTATTATATTAATCGGATAAAATAATAAAAAATACTTCATCCGTCCCATCTATCATATTCATATTATCGTTTTTGACGGTATCACATTTGATGTCCTTTTTTTTAAAAAAAAATGATTGCACGCTTTAATCTCATTTCAAATTTTTTAGTTTATAATTTTTTTAAAATTTTAATTAGACTTATCTTAATTTTAATTTATAATGATTCATATCATAGTATAATTACTTTAACTAATATATAATTATTTATTAATTATATTTATCATAAATTCTTGTACGTACAATGATGGATCATTGTAGTAATTGAAACTAGATTTATAATTTTTCAAACAGAACAAAAGTGGTAAAACTTACTTTACTTTAATTATATCAAAACACTCATTTTGATTTATTATTTATTTAATACTATTTTATCTATTACTCCCTCTGTTTTTATTTAAAGTATTTTTTTTTACTCATTCTGTCCCATTTATCATGTCCATCTTTTTATTTTCGTATGTCCCACTTATTTTGTTACTTTTTTTTTGGAAAATAATTATAAACTTTAATCTCATTTAAATTTTTTTAAATTTTAATTAAATTAATTATTTATCTTAATTTTAATCTAAAAATATTTTTATTATATGATAATTATTTTCATTAATACATTTTAAATTATTTACTAATTATACCCCTCATAAATTATCGTATCTACGGTAAATGGTACACCATAGCCGAGTCCGAAGAAGTACTATTTTTGTTTGTCCACTCAAAAATATTTTTTTCCTATTTTAGAAAAAGTAATCATATACTATTATCAAAATATCTTTTTAACTTTTACTTAAATTACAAATATACGATTACATATACAATTACTTTATGCATAAACTTAAAGGGCAAAAATGTCAAAACCTCTCACACACCTCCACTATCAATAAAATTTTTATTATTTTTTATAAAAATAATAGAGTATATATATTATAAATATTGAATTAATATGTACATACTATATTTTTTATAATATTTATAAGAAATTGTGCCACAAAAAAAATAGATTGAGTGAACAAACTATATTTATATTAATTATAAATATTTAAATTAATTGTATTTATTAAAAAATGAAAAAAAATGAGAATAAAAATATATTTTTGGATATATAATCACTGAAATAAGACAGATTACTCATGAAATTTTTCGGTGAATAATCATGAAATTTTCATAAGTATTCTGTCAGTAAACACCTCGTTAATAATTCTCCACAAGAAAAATTCGTAAATAATTCCGTGAATAAATTATTTAAAGAATTACTTAAGGAATTCTGTCGATGAGAAATTCACTAATAGAATTATTCCGTAAGTAATTCCGTGAGTAAAAGTCAACAGGACAAAGAAGTTACTCCCTTATTTTTGACAAAAATCTACCATGAGTAATTTTGTGAGTAATTTACTCAAGAAATCATTTATGGAATTTTTCCTCTGTCAATATGATGTTTGAGACGGAAGATATTCCGTGAATAATTTTTCCAACCTCCCAAAAAAATTATATTTCAATTTATTCATACATGTTTCAAACCATATATTATGATAGCATAAATCAAAGTCATAAAGTAAATTAATCCAAGTCATAAAGTAAATTGCATCAAACCAAATATCCAATAAACAATATACGATCGAATCACATTATATTGTCAAACATAATTCCATAATCAATGGATACCAAAAAAATACTAAACATAATTGTACGTTCAAAATAGTTGAATCCATACAATATGAAAGCTTGAATACTCAATACCAAAATCAACAAACATGTGGCGCACCGGAATCGCCATCCAGGTCACGATGGTCCGGTCGAGCGTTCATCATCTTGAGCTGTTGCATGATCATTAGGGCGTAACTCTCGAAATGATCCAATATAATAGTTGTTTAATATGATATAAATATGTGTTGATGTGATGTTTGAAATGTAAAATAAATTTTAGTGTAATATTATAAATAAAAATAAAGTGTTTGATTAAATACTTTTTAGAGAAAAAAATTAGAAATATAAAACAAAAGTCAAAATCTTACAAGTAAACACACACATCGTTGTTTTAGCCAAAATTTAGATACCAATCTAATAATCATTGACAACATAACAAGATCTTAAATTTCATGAGCTCCTGTAAGCCCATCTTCTCCTTAAAAATTTTGCAAGTAAAATTTTGATCAAAGCTAATCTTATTACAATATTTTTCACTGATATTATGAACATTAGAATAGAAGGTAGGAAAAACACTTGCACCGAGGCACGAAAAATATAAACACAAAAAGTTTTTGCATTTACTTTCACAAATGCACATGAATTATAGTAGAAGAGTTTCCCATCAAGGAAAATGAAACCCAAACAAACCATAAATACTTTTCGATGCAACCAATCAAACAAGAAATTTGGATTTGTTTCTTTGTAGATGCTAAAATGTAGTAATAATCTGCATTGTATAAGTTGTGGATTTGTTTCTTTGTGACTGCTAAAGTTTTCACACAAGTTTTTAGGGATAAAAGTGTGTATACCTTCTTTCTATGGATGATAATGGCAGGTTCAACTTGGATCCTCACATGCAACCAGTTGAGGCGAGATATATGCTCATTCAAATCTTTTAATACCAGTTGATTTCGTCTGCTTTGAACTGCACCAAAAATAAAATTTCATTAAAAACGATTATTGTAAACTCATATTGTTGATTGTGTGACTATTGGTGCATATATTGTTTGTGATGCCCTAGAACACAAAGTCATGCTTAACAATCATAAAAGATCATTTTCTTATCAATAAAATTAGAAAATTATCAAGCCTACAGTATCATAAATGCATCAACAGAGGCAAAAGCAATGTTGTCAAAATTTGATATTAAGCAGATCAGAAATTGGAAAGTCAATTTAGGGGAAAAGACAAAAACCCATGGAATTATTCTAAACAGATAAGAATCGAATAAACATAATACTCGATAGATGGCTATAACTTCAGATCCACTGATTCAGAGCAACACAAAAATTAGGTATTGAATCATATAAAAATGAAAAGAATAAACAAATTTTTTACCAGACAATCGCTCATACAGAACAAGCAAACAAAGGGCGAGAAATGTGATAAAGCGTACTATTGATTTAAAAAGTAAAGCCGCTTTTCGCCCAGATGACGCTGTCGTGGCCAAGGATGGTTGTGTTAGCGAGGACAGAGGACTTCCAGATGTGGGCAATGACGATGTTGATGCCGGTGTGGCACCGCCATCGAATTCGGGCTTTCTAGAGATTGAAATAGGTGGATAGGGCAGAGGACGAAGATTGAAATGGACATGGTGGATTTGGTCGAGAGGGCAGAGGACGAAATATTGATAAACATGGGAATAGGAAGGGTAAAAACGTCCATTATTGTACATATTTATATATACTTTCTCCGAAAAAAAAAAAAATCATGCTTTATCTAATCCGCTGAAAACCCTTGGTCTTAAAACTCAAAAAAACCTACTTGTAATTAATAAAATGTTACAAAAAATCTCCCATCCATTACGATTTAACGGAGGTTGTATACAGGGGCGGATCGAGGTGGGGGCAAGGGTGGGCTGCAGCCCCCTCCCCACCCCAATTTTTTTATTTTATTTATTAAAATTTATGTATTTTTTATATAAATATATATAATATAGAGAAAATGGATAAATAAAAAAATACTAAAAAATTATATATTTTGTCTGAATAAAAAAGAATAAAAAAGAAATATTTATAATACAGTATATAACTATTGTTATTGTTGTAGTTCGTTATTTGTATTTATTTTTTTCAAAATATAATAATCAGAATGATAATTTTTTAGGATAACAAATAAATATTTATAAATAAAATATATTATTTTATAAATTTCAAAATTAGCTCCCCCCTCGAATATAATCATAGGTCCGCCATTGGTTGTATATCACGCGTCTAAAATGCGATTTTTGGTCCATATAGTGATATATTTTGTATAAAATTACTAAAATACCCTTATTGACTACTTTTTACAACTTCTTCCTCTTTCTTTTTCCTCGTTCTTTCTTCTTCTTCCTCATTCATTTTTTTTTAAATCTGCTAAGCACAACATAAATTTTACCAAATTTATCACAATTAATTGACCGGATATGGAGATGGAGATGAGAATGCGTAAGTTATTATTCACCGTCGATTTCTTCTTCTGTTTTACCAAACCCAGAAATACTTTTTTTTCTGTTTTTACCAAACCCAAAAATCTAAAAATTCAATTTGACATCAGGATTTGAAATCAATCTAAGAAGAAAGAAAGAACTTGACGCAGGTTGCAACCGTGTACGAAAGAAATATGGAGAAAAAATAAAGAAGAAAGAAAATTGGGGAAAAAAAAGATAGAGAAAAAAAAATAAAATTGGAGAAAAAAAAACCGTGATGTCCAGCCCCTTCTTTCTCGTCTTCTTCTTTCCCTTTCTCTTCTTTATTCTCTTTCTTTTCTTCATTTTTTCTTCCCTGCTCCAGGCGTTTCTGCCCGTCATCTTCTTTCTCCTTTTATTCTTTTGCAATTCTTCATTCTTCAAAAGAACAATTGGAGATGAAGAAGAAAAAAAAAAAAATTGGAGAAAAAAAGAAGAAAAGAAAGAAACAGATGAAACTGCTATGGCCTCAAAAAGAATTGGAGAAGAAGAAGAGAAAAATTGAGGAAAAAGAAGAAAAGAAAAAAGCGGATGGAACTGCTATGGCCCGAAAAAAATTAGAGAAGAAGAAGAGAAAAATTGAAAAAAAAATGTGTGAAGAAGAATTGGGAGAAAAAAAGAAGATGGAAGAAAGAAATTGTGGAGAAGAGAAGAAAAAAGAACATAAGAGAGAGAAACCACATTGGCATAACGGTTTGATAATGCTAAAATTTAACGGCGTCAGTGTGATTTAAAAGGGGGGCGAGTGTGCAACGTTTTATAAACCACGAGTAGGTTTCTTGGAGTTTTAGGACTATGGGGGGCTTTCAGCAAATTTGGTAAATCACTGGGTTTTTTTGCTATATTGCCATACTTTCTCCTACTTCAATTGACATGTTTTTATTTTTGTAAAAGTTTACAAAGTCTGAACTTACTTGACAAATATAAATTAATTTAATTAATTTTATAATATATAATATCACACATGAGACTCATTCAAAATTCCTTGTTTCAGTCTCTCTTCTTAACAAATATTTTTATATCTATATTGCATATATTTTATTGAAATATAATATTTAAAATATTTAAACACATATTACAAATTTATTTAAATTTTATATATTAATTCTTATTTTAAAATTACTTACAATATTATTCATATAAGAATATAATAAAATAATATTTCCCTCGTCCCAAACGAATAGCACCTTGGACTTTTTACATGTAAATTTTTTAATATTAATTAGTATATTAATACGTAGTAAAAATTAAAAAATATATATAAAAATACTTATGATTGTCTCTTATAATACAACTATAATGACTTTTGTGAAGTAAATTATATAAATATAAAGATATTTTTAACATTAAATATAATTATGCAAAAGACAAATTATGTCCTTCTTTTAAATCTGGTGTAATATTATAATTCACTATTATTAACTAAATAAATCACTTTTGCTTTAAATAATGTGTTCCATATGAAATGAGTCGTTTTAAATGAAACAAAAAGGAAGTATAAATTATAATTATAATATAATAATATAAGTTATAATATGTATATATATTTATAATAAGTAAAGTTAATATAGCATTGTTATGAAAATAATTGTAATACAAATAAATTTTATATTTATTTAGTATAATTTCATATTCTCTCCGTCCTTTAACAATTTATTTATTTTTTCATTTTGATCCGTTCTATAACAAAATATTCATTTTTTTTTTAGTAATTGTACTATCTACTTAACATTACAAACTCCTTTCCAATTTACATATATTACACAAATGTCATTATCTTTATATCATACAATACTAATAGGGTTAATTTAGTTTTTTACCTTTATTTATACTTTATCCTAATATAATACTAATATTTCTAAAACTCAATGCAAAAAAAAAAAAATGAATATATAGATATGGGACGGAGGGAGTATTTGTTACGAAAAATTAACGTAACAAATACCTCTAGATCATAATATTTTTTATGACGATAAATTTCGTAACTAATAATATAAATTTGTTATTAAGAAATTGTTACGATCATTAAATCGTTTCAAATAGATATTATTTTGATAAGGGTAAATTATATAACACATCCTTGTGTTTTACTAAAAATGCACAAAACACCCTGTATTTTATTTATTGCGTGAAACCCCATTGTGTTAATGGAAAGTTTGGATGAAACACCCTCCTTGTCCAAAATTGATGTTTGGTTCGAAATAAATACCTAAATTACGTAAGTTTTATATAAATAAAAAATGTAAAATATCTTAAATAATTTTTTGTGAATAAAATAAATAAATAAATAATTGATCAATCATTTATTTTATAATTTTTATAAAAATCAGACAATAATTTGTCTCAAAAACTATAAAATGAAGGATTAATAAATTATTTATTTATTTATTTAATGCAAAAAAATTATTTAAGATATTTTTCGCTTTTTTTTTGTATAAAACTTGCGTAATTTAGGTATTTATTTAGAATTAAATATCAGTTTTGGACAAGAAAGGTGTTTCGTACAAACTTTACATTAACACAAGGGGGTTTCACATAATAAATAAAATATAGAATATTTTGTGCATTTTTACTAAAATACAATGGGGTTTTATATAATTTACCTTTTTGATAATAACGCTCTGCAAATGGAAGAACAAAAGGTTTATTTGTTTTGTCAATTTTTTTTTTTTTTCAAAAAAATTACTCCATCCGTCCCAGATACCGTGTCTGCTACACTGTAGACACGGTATTGTAGGAGGGGTGTAATTAGTAAATAATTAAGAATGTATTAGTAAAAATAATTATCCTATAATATAATTAATCATAAATTAAGATTAAGATAACTAATTAGTTTAATTAAAATTAAAAAAATTAAAAAATTTAAAATGAGATTAAAGTGTGTAATCATTTTCCAAAAAAGGAAAGTGACATGGTATGTGAGACGGACAGAAACGGCAACGTGGACATGGTATCTGGGATGGATGGAGTAATAATATATTGTATAAACTTATTATTTTTATATTACTTACACAATTCCTTATATTTTACATTAAAAAAAAAATTATCGCTTCAAATTATTTCACAAAATAAAAACTCAAAGGAATCGATTCAAAATTGAAAAATAATTGAGAAGTGATTTCGAATTCAAAAACAGTGTAAGATTTCAGATAGGTTATAGCCTTGTTTCTAGATGTTTCTTGGCCACTTCGAGGAGCTTTTTTAAAAAATGGCCTAAGTCAAATTGCCATTTAAAATTATAGCCCTCAAACGAGTTTTCAAAACTACTATATTTATATATTGTAGTAGTTTTCAAAAATCTTTTGATATAAAATTATGTACCTTTTCAAAAAAACACCTAAAACACAAAAAATAATAGTTTCAAAAACTCTTATTTTCTTTCTCAACTGCCTCGTACTATCTGAGACCTTGCCATTAGTATAGAGAAATTATAAAAGTTCTCAAAACTACTATAATTAACAATGTAAGAGTTTTAAAAACTTTTTTTTTTTTTTTTTTTTTTTTTTTATGAAAAGTAGTTATAAAAACTCTTATATTTTTTATTATAGGAGTTTTGAGAACTTCTATGTTTTTAATCTTAATTTACCCCACGGTTTTATTGCATTTCAATCTTTAACTTCGTTCATGTTCATTCCTCAAGCAAAACTTTTGCTGAAGAAAGACATTTTCAGGTAATATTTGTTTGACTAAATTATTTTATAGTTTTCATATAATATTTTGTTTTATATTGTTGGTAAGCAATATTATGTTTTACATTGTATTTTCAGGTATTTATTGTTTAGTGATTGTTGTTGATAGTTAGAAATCGCATGCGTTTTATATTCATATCATATGCGATAATTTGGTGATTTTGATTGGATTCTACCTAATTTATATACGAATTGTTTATTTGCTGTGTGCAGAGGGCAAATATTAAATTTGGCATAATTGGCAGAAAAAAGAAATAAAATTAATTAAAGGCCCAAAAGCCCATCTACAAAATACTTAGGGCAAACATTAAATAAAAGGAGAGATCACACGTTTCAAAAGGGGGAGAACGGCTAGGGCAGATACGCACAGGAGCAGGAGACTGACAGATCCATAGATCGCGCAGGAGCAAATCGACAGAGAAGATTTCCCCCTCCCACTATGACTTCATCTTTCTCTTTTGTTCTTTGTTATTTAATTATGGAGTAGATACTTTTCTGGTTTGAGGGGTGATAATGTTTTGGTTCTTTTGTTTTGGA